ATTTTACAAGTGGTCTTATTTGTGACCTAAAGCAAGTTCATCTGTGTCCTTACTTTCCTGTCCTTACCTTCTTAGATAGGAAATAATTAAAAACAAGAGGAGAAAATTGACTACCAATGGAGTTGGAGAACAAACACGCACGCACGCACACAGCACTTTATTTGTGAAACATTTTGACTCAAAAGAGGACACAGCTGCATATAAACACATGAGGAGGCTCTGCACGCTTGGTGCTGTGAACTGTAGTGGAATGAATGTGTGTCTGGATGATCACGGCGGTGGCCCTGGGGAAGTCAGGATGCATGTGGGAATGGTCGCTGCACAGCCCTGTGCCGAGTTCCCCATCCTGTCTACCCCATGCTAGCATGCTTTTGCAGGCAGGGTCCAGACTAGTGACATTTACAGGATCTCAAATACACAGCTGGTTGGAACAAAAAGGGGTGTGGAAAGTGTTAAAAGTTTGGGGGTTAGGGGAAAAAGCAGGTGCTCTGGGTGGCTCAGCAGAGCCTCCAAAGAGACAGCAGACCAAAGTCAGTGTGTTAATTCTCAACAGTGGTCTCTCTGGGGTGAATAAAGAAACCGCTCAACAAAGGCAGCTCCTTCTCCAACCTGGAGAGGCAGCGATGCCACCTGCAGCCTGGAAGCTGCTCTACAACCTACAACAGTGACCAGCTCCGGGGCTGGTCCTTGATGGGGAGAGGTGATGAGAATTTACATAGGGAAGAGAAAATGGGTGGTCAACTACCAAGATGAAATTTTTTTTCCCTAGATAAATTGTAAACAATTAAAAACATGTTTAAAATTATTTTTACTGAAGAATTTTTGGAGACTACAGTGACTGGGTTAAGATTTATGAACAACATTTCTCACGAATGTATTCCTTCTAGAGAGTGCCTTATGGGACTCTATGGGACATGATCACAGTTTTTTTTTGTTGTTGTTGTTGTTGTTTGTTTTTTTCTTGTATAGCAGTCCCACAATGTTGAAACCAAAGCTGGAACTAGATTAGGTTAGTGGGCACATGCTGATGCAGCTAGTCTGATCTTCTTAGGGGGAAACCAGATTACTGTGAAACCATCAGATAGCACATACTTCTGAAAAGAAATGGAATGTATTTTTATTGGCAGAGTCAAGATGAAGTATGTCTTGAAATCTGTTTTACAAATAAACTTGCACATAAATTGTCCATTCACTGCTTGGAAATCTTTTTTCACGTTTGAGGAGCTGTCAGAGGTCCCTAATAAACAGTGAGTCTTATTTAGTTTACTGGATATGTAATTCTTCTTTTCTTTGAAAATAATTATTTTTCAAGCAAGTGCAGCAAAAATACAACCAATAAAAATCTAGCTATGACAGAATAAACAACCTTTATAGCAAGCATATGCATCAGGTTCTCCCAATAAAAACAGTTTCTGGTAAGGAAGAGAGTACAGGAAATTGGCTGACTTGTAAGGGTTAAGAGAGAAGGCATGGCGGCCCACCCCACCTCCACACCTTAGGTTGGTCCTTGGTTATCAGAATGACAGGAGAAGGAACCCTATTGCCAGGTGGCCCTTGGGCCAAGGGTAAGGAAGGAGCTGATTGCTTGATTTGACCCAGTGTCCAGTCATCTCAGAATGGTTTAGTGAGACATACTTCCCAAGTCCCATCCTGTGGAGGGTGCTGTGCCGGGAGAGCCATTCCTTGAGGCCAGAGAAGCTGAGGGGTAAAATTCCCTGTAGGACTCTGGTGACAAGGGGAAGGTGAGGGAACCATCCATGTCTGGGTTCCCCCATTGTGGGTCCAGGCTAGTTGTCTGGGGCAGGGGACTGGTGTCGGTCATGCCAGGTAAGTAGTAGGGCTGTGACCTGGGACAGTGGCCAACTTAGGAGAATCCCATCCAGGGATTCCGCTCTAGACTGGGTCAGCCTGATCTAGGCAGGTCAAGGGCTTTGTGGGGAGGCACATTTGCTTTGGCCTTTCCCAGTCCTGTGCCCAGGCCATGGCCACTGCATCTTCAGCGCCTATATGACCCAAGCCCAAGCTGGCAGCATGGGGGATCAGTCTCCTGCTGGGCCAGGTGGGCTGAGGCTCCCCCAGGGAGCTCTGTGTGAACAGGTTCTCAGCAGACGTGCTGGGGCTCATTTATGCTTTTATAGTAGCTCAGAAGATGTTATCGCAGCTTGAGAACTGAAATTAAAATATGTATCCTTCAGGTGCAAATCTGCGGTACTTACAGCTTTGCTCGTTCTCTGCAGGGGGGCTCCATTAATCTTGTACTAGTGAAATTCCTAAGGAAATTAATTCCCTCTAGTTGGGGTTATTCTCCACTGGTCTTCAGGGGCGGAGTAATTGGAATTTTAGAGTCTTACAAGAAGGGAACTGTTGGCCATTTGACTTGAATGACAACATGTTTTAATGTCCTGCTTTTTGGTCTTTCCTCCAGCACCCCTTTGTGTTTCTCAGTGTCTCTCAGTGGGGCTTAGAGACCCCCACCAGGAGGGAGTTGGGTCCCAAGCCTCATTTAAGATAAGTATTCCTCCATGACAGGTTGTTTGTGCCTCTGCAGTACCAGGCCCTGTACCCACTGAGTAACACACAGCCACAGGAACTAATGACTCATCAGAAATTCATGGTTTAATATTACCTTGTCTGTTCAGGAACAGTAAATATTAGTTGTTGTTATCCTTCAAAATAATCACACTGCACATACACCTTCAAAACAGACAATTCACAGACACTAGATGGTGCCTCTTTGCTGCCCCAAAGTTCAGGACATCCCTTTCTGGCCTTCCCCCCTGGAGCTTGGGCCCTCCTAGGCCAGGACTTCAGCCCCTAGGCCCAGAGCCTCAGGTTCTGGTTCTTATGCTCCTGCTCCTGAAGGGCCACATGGCACCTGTGAGCAGCTTACTTCTCCTGAATGTGGCCCTGAGGAGGGTGCTGTGCAGGGAGAGCCATTCCTCACCAGGCAGGGCTGTCCCAAGAGGGCCCCCCTCCCCCATGGAGTGGACAGACACCACTGAATAATGCTTATACATGGGGTCAGCAGAATGTCATTGTCCAGGACGAACACACAGGGACATGGACCCAAATTAGCCCACTCTTTTGCTGTTTTTGAGCTTTTGGGGCATAACAGGGCATAAAGGAAAGCCAAGACCACCGTGTTCTAAAACAGCTCAAAATCACTGAGCATGGAAACGGCCAGCATTTCCTCTGGCCCTAGCGTACTCCAAGGGGGATGACCAGACTCTCTAGAGTGGCGGTGGGCAAGAGGTGCTTCTGGCAGTGCCTGGGTGAGTCCTGGGCCTGCCCTCCCTGTGGGGTGTCTGGGTGAGTTCCTTAGGTATAAGCTGGGGGTTAGGCGCTGATGGTCTTCACATCAGCTTGAGGGACCCTGAGTGGAGAACATGGACACTGGGCAAGCGCTCTGAAAGGCCAGCAAGCACTGCCTATTATCTACACACATCCATACCTTGGGTGTGCCCCCGCCCCCCCCCCCACCATGCAGCTTGGCTCTGTGTGGAGTCCAGCAGCAAAGAGTCAGTGCATTCTAAAGCCAAGAGGTAGTCTGCAGCCCCCAAGCCACTTGATAGCAACAGTGGTAACTGCAAGAAGGGCAGGGTTGGGGCATCATCCAGGAGTCTTCATTTTTCTTCCAGTAGGGATCCTCACTCTCCCGCTCTTGGTGCCATGTCCTGAGCAGCTTTCCTCCATCACTCCCTTCCCACACCTCAGCCCACAGTCTACATGGACTGAACCTCTGAAACACTGAGCTAAAGTAAACTTTTCCTTCTCTACCTTGTCCTCATCAGGTCTTTTGGTCACAGTGATGCCAAGCTGACCAACACGTTGAGGAAAAAGGCATTGGTCTATGGTTTCTTGCATTACTGTGAACTCCTTCAGACTGCACAGGAAGCCTCCATTCTTCATGTAGCAGCCTGCTGTTTCTCCTTGGAGCTCTACCTGGATGTCCTGGTTATAATTCTGGAGAGAGTGTCTCGTTTCACCTCCTCTAGGCCAAGACCTGAGCAAGGCAGCACATGCCCAGCTAGACAAAACTGGTGCTTTTATTTTTTATTTTTTAAAAAATAGTATTTATTTTTTAGTTATAGGTGGACACGATGTCTTTATTTTACTTGATGTGGTGCTGAGGATCGAACCCAGTGTCTCACGCATGCTAGGCGTGCGCTCTACCTCTGAGCCACAACCCCAGCCCCAAAACTGGTGCTTTTAAAGTGCAATTTAAAATTTGAATAAAGTTACACACAAATTGAAAAAAAAAAGTAGGGAGCCTTCTTCACAGCTGGTGTATGCTACTTTTAGCAAATTCTATTTAAAGGAAAAATCAGGATTTATAAAATAGTCATGTCAAAGAGATGATTATTCCTTTTTAAGAAAAAAATTATAACATACTTCATTCATTATAACATACTTCCTTCCTTCATTAAAATTTCACTAAATTTCAAAGCAATCCATGTTCTTTGAACACATGTAAATGACACAAAGAAGTGGACAATTTCTGTAGCAATCTCTGAGGCAATCTCTCCTAATGCTTGGGGGGCATTCTTCTAGAGACCTTTTCTATGCCACATTCAGTTATATAATTATATTTTATTTACATACAATTCAATGCTTAAAAATGGTAACCAGAGTAACCAGAGTAAGATCCTGTTTTTTTTAAGTGTTTTTAGTTATATATGGACACGTCTTTATTTTATTTATTTTTATGTGGTACTGAGAATCAAATCCAGTGATTTGTTTATTTTATGTGATTCTCAGTACCACATAAAATAAATAAAATAAAGACATGTCCATATATAACTAAACCCAACCCCAGCTTCTCAGAGTAGGATCCTGTTTTTACAACGTGATTTCCCTCTTCCTATTGCATTTTTCCTCACGGTAGTATCTAAGCTTTTAGTTACATTTTTTTTTGTTTTCTATAAACTAAGGTTTTTATTTTAAAATAATTATAGATTCATATGCAGTTGTTGAAAAATAATACAAAGACATTTTGTGTATACTTTCCCCATTCTAACATTTATAAAATTGTAATACAGTATCACAATCAGGATATTGATATTAGCATACAATCTGCCTTTTCCAGATTTCCCTAGTTTTATTTGTACTCCTGTGTATTTATTTCTATACACTCTTGCCAAGAAACAAAACAGATCCTCATTGGCTCTCTTGTTGCATTTTGAATAACATAACTGATGTTTTCAGTAACCTCTATTTCTCAAGGTGAGGCACACATGTAAACAGGGCTCCTAAGGCTACTTTTAATCACTAGAACATTGCTGCCAATAGAAAATATAAAGTGAGCCACAGTGAGAGTCGTCTGTAACTTAAAATGTCCTAATAACCAGAGATAAAGAAAGATAAATTTAATATAGTTCACAAAACCCAATATATATTCAAAGTGTCATTATTTAAACATGCAATCAATACAAAATTATTAGTGCTATATCGCATTCGTTTTTTTGTGCAGTCTTTGAAATCTGGTGAGTTGGGAGCATGGATCTGTGGCTGGCTCCAATGCAGGCGCTTGGGATGGAGATTCAGCTCTCATCTTACCTAAGAACATGGCCTCAGGAGGAGACAAGCACAGTTTAGGACACGAATGCCCATGTTAGAAGCATACACAGGTGGCCCTGGGACACCCAACTAGTACAGACAAAGGCTCCACAGTGCTTGACGCAGTGCGCAGTCAGAGCCAGAGGACCAGCCAAGAGTCCTGAATGTTTGGGCAGGCGCCAGGATATTAGGTGTTGAGTGAAAATGGAACCATAAAGGAGAGGGGCTTTGAAGGGAAGGCCTGATGTGGTTTGGGGACATTCTACAAGTGACAGTGTACTTCCCGAAGCAGATGGATACTGGACTCTGTGCTAGCTGTTGAGGTTTCCTTGGAGACTGAAAAAACTAGGAGCATGGGGAAATTTATCCAGGCCAAGAATCTATAGGAATCACGTAAGACCGGTGCAGAGGACTGCACTTGGAGGGCCACCTACACGGGAGGCCAGAAGGTCTGAGTGACAGGGAGGCAGGGGTCATGGAAATGTGCATCCTGGTGCTCAGAAGAAGCAGCGCCACCCTGGTTTTGAAGCACCAAGGTCGCAATGGGGATGGGTCCGGCAGGCCTCCGTCGAGGGAATGGCACGCGGAGGGTGGGGGTCGCCCCCAGCCCGACACAGAGGGCGTGGGGTCGGGTGCTGCAGGACCCAGCTGTAAGCACCTTGTCAGTGCTGAGGTTCCAAGACCGCTACCCTGTTCCCAGAATTCTCGTTTCATCCCCACCTTGATGCAATTCCCTTGCTGATCGATTCCGGCTTGCCTGTGCTGTAACCCACCTTCACTCGCACTCACTTCAGACACTTCTCGCTATCACAGCCCCGGGCTTGGTCTCTAAGGTTACAGGAAGTGCGAGGAAAGTTCGGAGGCTGGCGGCACAATCCCGCCCCGCGCCAGGTTTCCGGGTCTCCGGTGCCTCGG